CGAAAGCACGTCAACTTCCCGACCGCGGAAAACGTACCCCACGTCCGCAGCGGCCTGTACGAGCGCGGCCTCGTCTGGACTCTGCGCCTTGTACTCAAGTGCGCCCGTCTCGGGGTCAGTGCCCGTCAACACTGTGTGACACAGCGCGAGGACGGTGAAAAAGCCGTTAAGTGTGCGGGCGCGTGCAGGGTCGGAGGCATGTCCGGCCGCGCGGAGGTCGTCCGTCAGGGAGTGAGAGACGAAACGGGTAGCGCTTCGTGGGGGCAGCATCGTGGCTGGGCCGGTTGCGACAGAGGGTTTGTCTGCTACGACGGGAGGGGATGATGAAGTGGAGGCGGCGGTTGAGGATGATGAGGATGATGAGGAGGCGGGTATGGTGAGGGTTTGGGATGTGGATGTAGAGGCTTTTCCTGAGGTTATTCCTGATGGATGTCTGGATTCTTCCTCGACGTCAGTATCTCCATGGTATACTTTTCCTGCAATGGAACATTGACGGAATACCATCGAGTTCTACCACATTTATTAGCTTGCATCGAACCGACGAGAAGGAGAGAGTTCACCTGCGTCAATGTCCCTGTCTTATCTGAAAAGATATATTCAATCTGTCCCAGATCATCCGAAAGATTCCACGACCGAGCAAGCGTAGCCTGATCCGTCTTTTTGTAATAGATTTCCGAGTCGAAATATATGAACGCAGCCTGGCAAGTACGCACAAACTCAATAGAGATATACAGAGAAATTGGGACAATGTTCTGGAACCTATAATGAGCAGCATATCAAGTTAGACCCTTTACGTCCCACCAAGATATGAGCTCTACATACGTGATCAGTGCGAAGGCCCAAGTAACGAGACCGTTAATAGAGGGGTTGTCGTCGGACTGGTTGTCTAAGAACAACCAGGGTGCATTTCGTGGGAAGTAGTGGTGTTCAAGAACGGAGTCGACAATGGCGCAGACGACAGCCATAATCGCGAGGATAATCAAGTTGATGAAGCTAGGCACCGACAAAGTAAGCATCACTCTCATAGCAACAGACAAACGACGTACACTTGTGGATTCATCTGTCTCTCAACCTTGCTCCGCTTGCTAGGGGTCCCGCCCGAATTCATGACGATACGCGTGTCTTCGCCGGTGTACATGACGATACCTATGACCCACGCCGTGTTCCTCAGCACAGTGCCTCTCAACAATGTCATCTGCATATCGATGGGGTGCGTCTCCTCAGCACCCTTCTTCCTCCCTGTCTCCTCCACATCCTTCGAGTCCATCCGCAGCGTCGCATTGAGCTTATACATATTCACATCCGGCCTGTCTGCATCGACACGGAAGCGGTTGCGCACGTCTGCACAGTCGGCTGCAGTACGCAGATGCGTAAGCGGGGCACAGGCATGCCGGGACTTGAGGTTCGTCTCTCCGTCTAGATTCTTCGTCTCCACAAATGCGACGTTCTCTTCCTCACTCGAGGCGCAGATGAGGATATCAGCAGGAAGCTGCTCATGATCCATGATCTTGACAAAATCACCAACGCGCACGTCCTCCCAGATCCCTTTACGCCAATGTGGACGCGAGTGATTCGCATGGTGGCCAAAGAGATGAAGTCCAGGACCCGTCTCGGACCCAGTCTCGTGCGCATCATCATACTCAACGTCCGTATGTTCTACCCCGGACTCGGTCATTATATCAGAGGCTGTGGTGGGTTTGACCAGTTGACCCTTTTCGGGTTTCTTCCGAAGACGAGTAGGGATCATTCCACGGACGAAAGTACGATTTTTCTTGGCCATTGCGTTTGGGTTAGCCCAATTGCCGCCCGAGAGGACACGTACGGGCGTGTGATTGACTCGCCGGTCGGACTGGTGCCGCTTGACGTCTTCATAGCCGTCTTTGAGCGCGGTGATTCCGAGAACGATGAGGAGCGGTAGGATGACGAGGCCCGGGGAGATGGTAGAAAATTTGTTGAAGAATTGAAGGATGGCAATGGCGAGGAAGAAGCTAAAGCGACGTAAGTACTTATAGTAAACTTTTTTGGGGAAATGAAATGAAATCTTTTGGCGTCTAAAGACTGTGCGGATGCTTTCGTAAGTCATAGAGCCCCATTGACTCATGGTCGTGCGTCAACCACATTCTCAGCGCAGGACCAATTCACGAGACACTTTCCGCAGACCCCACAAAACGAACAAAACGCCATACTCACATATTGGCAACCCTTCGGAACTGCTCAAGTAAATTCCGGGGTAGAAAAGTAATTATGGTATACTTGGACGTGAGGACCTGGTTCGTGGAATACACATGCTCGGACCTGACACGGCCTTTGGCATCGTGATACTCAGCAGGCAGGTTCTCGTTCACAAACACCGTTCTCCTAGGGCCCGGCTCGCGCTTCCGCACGAAGAGGTTCTCGATGTTGAACGCAGCAAGCTTGTTATATGCATTGGTCAGGGATTGAAAGGCGGCGGGCGCCATGGGGCGGAGGAGGAGGAGGAGGTGAGAATGTTCAGATGTGGGAGGGCGGGAACATATGATGAGGAGGCTACGGCAGGGTGGAATAGAATATATTTTCGGACGCGCTGACACACGATAAATATGACACAATCCGATAACTTCGTCATACATATACTCCGCCCCCTTGATCAGCCTGATGTCGCCTACAGTCCCGTTTCCTCAGATGGCTGACAAGGAGATCTAAGACACATCATCCACGCATACCATGCAAGGCAGAAAACCCGGGTATGTATTATAAAAGGCGAGGTAAAACACAAAAAAACATCAAGTAGACAATGTATCAAAGGTGAATATTCCAAAAATGTCACAAGTAGTGTTCTCGAAAACGAGTGCAAGAGGGTATCAGATCAATTTTGCCGCCGCTCCACCGATGGTTACTACCGCCTATTGCAGCTGTGACTGCGGCTGCTGCTGGCCCGGACGCTGGCCCTGGTTCTGGTTAACCTCCTTGAGCGCAAGTAGCTGCTTCGAGCGGAACGCCTCGTAATGGATTTGGGCAGTCGTCTCGATCAGATCCTGCAGATGCGTGCGTAGGAGGAAGTCGCGGAGGTTGACAAACTCGCAGTGCGTCGGGTTTTCGACGTTGACAACACCCCAGCGGTTCCGCCTTCCACGCACGCTCTTTCCATCAACAATCACATTGTTCTCAGAGCCAACGATAGCAAAGGGGATCATGTTCTTCACATACAAGTCAGAAGAAAATAGAATCACGGCCAAAGAAGAGCCACGCACCCGAATGGAAACGTTGTGCTGCTGTTCCTCCTCGTCGTCCTCTTCCAAGTTATCAAACGGATACAGATTGATATTATCATACTGCAATTCCTCTCTAATCTTCATCTTAAACTTGTCCCTCTCCTCATGCGTCAACGAGTCTGACTTGGCGATGACAGGAACAACATTTACGACCTCGCTGAGCTTCTTCATGACGATCACATCGATAGCGCGGAGACCGTGACCTGTAGGATTAATGAAGTAGAGGCAACAGTGAATACGTGTATCTTGGATGTAGCGGTCGCGCATCGCGGTAAGCTCTTTGCGGAGGTACGCGGAATGCTGGTCTTTGATGTATTTGATGATCGGATCCCAGCTAGATGCGACAATCTCAGCAAAAATTGCGGAGAATTAGCAAAAACTGTGGTGCACCAGTTCTCGTTGTCAATCTGATCACCGTAACCTGGAGTATCGACGATATTTAGGCGAAGCTTGACACCATTTTCAACGATGACTGTGCACAGCGTCAGTAAGTCCGTATAGACTTATCGTCTCCAGTGGGTCGAAACACGTAAACGTAAGTGAATCACGTCATTTGGACTCGAACACACATCTACCTGTCTTCTCCGAACACCGACACAAAGCCCACTCAGGGTCCCGCGGTGAATAAGGAAACACGTAATGTGAACCAGAATGCAAAAAGCCACACCATGACCCACACGAGATGGGTACAAAATACGGAGTAAACCGCAAAAGAAATTGAGAACAAGATAGAAGGTGAGTAACGCTCACCATGCGAAACAGCCTGAATCTCCGTTGTCTGTCTAACAGGCTCGTCTGCCATGAAGCGGCCTTTCGAGTCGACGAGGTGTGACGCGAAGAGAGTGTTGATGAGCGTCGACTTGCCGAGACCCGTTTGGCCTATATGTACGTGTACGTGTCCGTCAAGAGATACAGTGAGTTGCGAAGGAACGCATTCAGAAATTCGGTAAGGTGGAAATGTAGGCGGGGTACAGAAAAGGCGTGGTGGAAGAGGAGACAAACCACATTCAGAAACACTTTCCATCTCAAGGCGAGAAATATAAAACGCACCAACAAGTATAACATTGAACTGGAACCCACGTTTGAGCAGCTTATGCTCGATCTGCTGCGTGATACTATCGAAACCAACATACGACTCCGCGCGGATCTCTTCGGCCATTCTTGTTCTTATTCTTCTTTCTTCTCGTCTATCGTTTCAAGTTTGGTTTCCGCACAAAGAGAGAGGAAGGGATTGTCAAGCAACGGTGAGGCAAGGCGAGCGACGTGGTTCGACGTTTCTTTCGGTGGCAAATTTGGGTTTGATGTAAATAGAGGTAAATAGACGGGTGGCTGGCCCGAACTTTCGCGGCTGAGCTGTTTTTGGCTCATTCCACCACCGTTCTGATATTAGTCAGAGAACATCGGCCTAGGGTGTTCTGGAAACCAAATGCTCTGTGTCTGCGACATAGCAATGTTCTCGTCGTTTCGTGCTACGTTTCGTGCTGTCGAGATCTATTCTGTTGAGGCGCTCATAGGATTATTGTCATTCAAGAATCAATATATAGCCCTAGTGTCTCAAATCTACTGTTCTGCTCCCTCATGAGCCATGAACCTCTGCTTTGGCTCGGTGTGAATATCATTGGGGCAAGCCAAATGAACAGTCCTTTAGCGTCGGACGTCCATACGTTGAATGAGAACGAACCTCTTTGCCTCGTCGCGTGTGCGATCCACGAGGGCCATCACAGTAGGCAAGCTAAGGACTAAAAATAAGGCGCTATAGCCAAGTGGTTACGGCGACAGATTAGAATGGTCTCTCATTCAAACGAATTATCTGTTCCTCTTCGAGGGCGCAGGTTCGAATCCTGCTGGCGTCGGTAGCTGTCCAGTAATCAGTCTTTTTCCTCATCCAAGGGATGAACTCAAACGTGATGTTGAAGAAGGGCGATTGCCAACATTTCAAAAGTTTACACAATTCCTATATATTGTATCGGTCATTTATTCAATCACCTACATCGTTTGAACGGTATGAAATATGCTCTAGTTCGTACCTCCCTGGATGGAATCTTGCTCCCCTTGAATCTAAGGCGCTATAGCCAAGTGGTTACGGCGACAGATTCGAATATCTTCTGTTATCTGTTCCTCTTTGAGGGCGCAGGTTCAAATCCTGCTGGCGTCGTGGGTTCTAGTTCATTTTTGTTCTTCCTGCTCAATGGGGAGAAAATCACAAAAGCGCCCCAACGTCTTTGACGAATAACTTGTACGCAAGGCTGATCACCAGGTATGTTACTCTTGTTCTTCTAATCATGTCTGCCATAGTTCACAAGCCTTGATCGGTAGTACACAGAGTAATCCCAGGCTTGAGAGACAATAACAATGGTCATTGATTTGAGTATTATATATGTCCGTCATGTTGAACTTTTTGTTTCATATAAGCAGTCTAACGGATACATTTTTGCTATTTCCTCTCCATTGAGCAGGAAATTGAAGAACACCAACATCAGTACAAATTCACAGATGACAGATCAATGATGAGATCAAGAGATGATAATGCCATAGGTCGACGGATGTGAAGGATATGCCAAAAACGATAGACGACAGTAACTGTAGGTTTGTGTAATGATGTGCGTTTCGTCATATGTAAACCGGCAATCTCTGTGGCGTGCTTTCAACATTCGGAGGCCAAAGTCGAAATCGGACATAGAAATCACCGTGGCCATCGCCTTGAAGCCCCTTCATTGCAGGCTACGAAGTGTACAATCGCTGAGCAGCGAAATCATGATATCTTTGAACGCGGCTATTTTCTCGTCTAATCAACTTACAATCTTTCTCACTGTTAATATATAGTCATGCAACGTCATATATATACAACGTCGAACCCAGGTACTTTCAGGCTAACGTACTCGTGCAATATATTTTCTCCGATATCATCGTCGCGCGTGGTCATAAAAAGGGTCTCAAGAAAAAGCTGTTCGTTCGTCTTTCAAGTTCACAACTTCTCTGCAGTATCGTGATCAGACTGAGGACAAGATATTATTTATCTTAATAGACAACTTACCCATGCTTCACATGCCACAGAATGACTTGTCAACTTGGGCCGATGTAGCGTTAACACGTCCCAGAAACTCCGCCTGGCCGTTCGTCAACGTGTTCATCGCCTCCAACGCAATATTGAATCCCTCTCCAGCATGATCTATGGCTAACACACTGATCGTGATCGATTGGTACGTGAGATTCCAGCACGTTCCACAATTGGGTGAGTCAAAGCTTGCGACAGCGGCGGCACCACCGATGTTCGGGAAGCTGGGCACGGAACCGAAGGTCGGGAAGCAATTTGCAAGGCCGTGTAGACCGTTAGAGCAAGCAACGGTGAGCATGGAGCCTGATTTGTCGTCATAGGTACGATCGAAAGTGACGCGGTCGGCGAGGGATAAGATGGGAAGGAGGACGAGGGATAGGATAGATGTAAACTTCATGGGTGGAAATCAAAGAGCTAGTGGCTTGATTGTGAAAGCGTCAAAGCGGTTGTGAGACTGAGTTTGTTGGGTACTTTTCGTTGAAGATGCAGTCCCTCAAGAAGTCCCCTTTATACACTGAAAACCAGCTCGTCCGGCGCGCGACTCATACGGATTCCCATATACTCAGAACTTACCGGATACTCGGGGTTCACAAAGTGATCCTGGTTCGCACAGCGGTAATCTCTTACCGTGGACCTGCTAGCAGTGTTCGATCTTGTCCAATGATATTTACGACCAAGAAAAAAATCACAAGGTTGGAGAAGGGAAGAACCTGGAAGAACAAACATGCCGCGTGTGGCATTGACTCAGACTACCATTGATCGCGGTCATCGCTCGCTGAGGTCAGAGAAAATGTCACAAGGGCATTTTCGAGATGTTCGTATTCAAGTACCGTAATCTCTTGAGAAACTCCGGTACCAGGCCGCAGCAACCGCGCTGACGATGTGTTCGTGGACACAATACTTCTTGGTTAGTACCTAGACGTAACGCGTAAAGCTTTGTATACAGATGTGATCTGACCAACTTGAAGGATACTTACTACCCGTGGTCGAAGATCAGAGAAGTTCCCACGAGTTTTAACCTCTGGATATATGACGACGGATAGCGCCGAGACGACTCCTTGGTCTAGACATGTTTCCAGAAAAAAAAATACATCCCAGCAAGTAACGCTACGTGGCCTATACATATGAAGCAACCCAGGCACTAGAGCCAAGTGGTTATGGCGGCAGATTAGAATGATGATGATTAGCTTTTCACAAGTGCTGATGGTATCGTCTGAAGCTGGAGTCGACTAACGAGTCTTTTCAGCCGATCACGACATTTGAATGCATCCATTCCGTGTAATTATCGTACAATGCTAATGAAATATCTTCTGTAACACTAATTAGCAGTGTTGTACCTAAGCCTTAGGGCTTAATATGTTATTAAGCCTAAGCCTTATAGAATCGTTGGAGACATGACCTGAAGGCTGATTAAGGCTTAGTATGGATGACTAATGTCGGATGACCATTTTGGGCAAAGGAAGTGTAGTAACTAATCGACAGAGTAAGTACTTAGTATAGTAATTCGATAGAAATTCGCTCCTTCAACACCCTCCCAATGATCATTAATTGATTTACATTGGTATTTTAGTGGCTCTGTGCAATATTATTGAATAAAAAGTACATAGAATGATAAGAATATTTTTCATAGAGCCTTTGTTTGATATTCAAGACCAGATTTTACAAGGAATATCTAGATGTTTGACAAAATATTGTTGTGAATAAAAGGGAAGAAGTATTTGATTAACCATTCAAGCTCTTTATCAAGTAAGTTCCTAACAAGTACGGTACATGCCTTTGGCTTGGACCTGTAGTTCTTGCAAAGATCCAGACACAACCTCACTACATTTGGTTAGGTCTTTGTATTTTGTCAACCAAATGCTGACTTGATCTAGACCCATCCTCACTTTGTCTACCTTGGGTCTTTGAGTTTTCTTTGTAAGAGTTCCTCAACAAAGCAATCAAGATTGAGGTCTTTCTTTTTGCAATCCATGTGCTTATAGTCCTGGCATTGTTGAAGTCAGCAGACATATAAGTCCTTACTGTCATTTCAGTCATATTTTATTCAGTCCAATAAAGCTTTCTATAGGTATTCCATGACTTTGAACTTTATTCTGTCAGCAAGTAGAATGAGAAGTGCTGATCATGTTCTAAGTATCCCTTCAGTTACATATTTGATATTCTAAACTCAATCCTGGAAATCCAGGCTCAACCTCACTTCAATTGGTTAGGTCTTTGATATTCCACTTTTCCAAGTCATTTATCATTCAATAGACAATTCTATGTTTTATATACTTGAAAATTAGGATCATTGATGAATCAAAATCTCTTCCACCTTGTTCTGTCCACTTTCTTTCTCCACTGCTGGCAGCCAATAGTGTTGCCTGAGGAAATACTAAAAAAGAAAGCTGTTATGCCATTTTCAAACAGGACATTTCCAATGAAAAAAGGCTCTAGATAATGAGAAAAGCCTTTTTCCAAAGGAAGATTCTTTCAAAGAAATGATATGACAGGTTTCTGTTTCCATTTTTCCAATGGAAACAGGTTCTAGTGTCAGAAGTACTCATATATTTTGAAATGTATGCTTGAAATATGAATGAGAAAGAAATTCTAAAGTAGCCTGAGTAATGAGTTTATGGTATTGCTCAATGGTACTAAGACTTTACAATCAGACTCACTGACAAAGACATATCTTTAGAGCAAGAATGTCAGAAGATGCTCAGATGTAATGTTTCCATTAAAGTGCACACAACTTATGATTCATACCTTGTAAGTCAAAACCAGTTATTGATTCTGTGCTACAAGAGTGAAGTAAGGCACTGCCTTACATAATGTAGGTATCACAATAAAAGGACAGCATCATGTGATGCTGCCAAAGAATAAGTATATAATTAATAGAAGCATGTAGCTAATTATGATAACAAAGGAGTCACATGGATGCTCTGTTACATACCTTCCTTTTGAGACTGTCAATGGTCTCACATTTGGGTGGAGAAAACAAACAAGGGGTGGGATATGACATCCCACCCACAAACCAGCACTGGGGCCATTGAATAACCCCTATGTTAGTAGCTCTGAGGTAGGAACAGCCAGTCCTATGAGTGTTGATTGGGCTGAGTTCATATTGGCATGCATGCCCAAGTGCATATTGATGAGATCTTATTCTTGCTGAGCACTGATTTCCTTGTTTTGCTATGTTTTTGGCAACTTCCAGATTTCACACTTCTGCAAGCTGGGTCCTTGACTGTACATTGCTCTGATGCCTGTCTTTGAGGCATGGCAGATCAACCATATGGTGTCCTTGTGATGAGGATTGATTGGCCAGATAAAAGGTGTTTCAGCACAGATCCACTTGATCATGTTGAAACACTGCTGGTAGATGGAGAACCAGTGAACTGGTGACCCATTCTGCATCATGGCTATCAATGGCCCTCTATACATGGAAATATTGGACAAAAAGTTCCCAATGTAATTCACTAGTCCTACAATTTGCTAGATATTGTTGTGGGTTCTAGGAGTGCAACACTCCTGGATCCAATTCAACATGTCCATGTCAGGGTGTATACTCTGTGAGTCAATGATATGGCTAAGGAACTATACATGCTTGGAATACATCTCACACTTCTTCCATTTAAGGAAGAGCTTATTTTTGCATAGTCTTTCAAAGACTACTCTGAGGTGCTCTTTGTGCTCCTCAATATAATCTGAGAATACAAGAAAATTGTCAAGGTATACATGCATCCACTTCTCAATGACATCCTGAAAGATGGATGTCATTAGTTGTTGGAAGGTGACTGGCACATTACAGTCACCAATCTGCAAGATATTACTATGATATGTACTAGTAATGGTCATAAACACTGTTTTTGATACATCAGTAGTACATATCCTAACCTGTTTATTTGTATCAGTAAGGTCAATTTTTGACCTTACAGGCATGCAAGCCACATCTTCCTAGATGACCTCCTGATTGGGTAAGGGCATAACATCCTTAACCATGTTATCATTGTGTTGACACACATCTAATGTCATTTGCAATGAGCCATCTTTTTTGGGAATACACAATAGCAGTGCAGCCTGATTGGCTATGCATGGCTCCCACCACTTTGCCTACATGTAGA